GGCTGGCACCGGCTATAAAGGCAGAGCTCCCCGGAGCACCCGGCATTTCCCCGCCACCATGAGCTCCCCCCTGGCCTGACAGCCCCTGCCTCCCCGGGAGCGCCGGGGTGGGCTGGTGTGAGCCCGGAGCCGCTCTCCTCCCTCCCACCGCCCCTCCGGACCAGCCCCACCAGCCGCTTGGATGCTTTGATTTCTTCCCTGCCCGAAATTCATCCTGCCCAGATGCAGTGGATAATATTCATGTTGCTGTTATTCATCCGCTCCGTGGAAATGCTCACGCAGAACCGATGGAAGAAGCAAGGTACGGTGCGCGGGGCTGGCGCGTCCCGCTCAAGTGCGGCAGGGAGGCTTGGGGACCAAGAGTGACACGGGCTGAGCCGGGATCCGGCGTCATCCCGACCCGGCCCCCTGGGTCCCTTCTCGGTGCACGGCTCAGAGTGAGAAGGCACAGTGCAGCCCCATGACACTGCCTGCCCGATGCCAGCCCTGCCCTCGGGGCTGGGAGCGGACAGCGACGGGCAATACAAACCCCAGGAGAGCCAGGGACGGTGGTGATAGTGCAGAACAGGCTCATTTTCCAGTATTTCCCTTCTCTGCCTAATGCACAAGAGGAGTAAAACCTCCGGGAAGGACGCTCAGAGCCAGCGCAGGCACTGCCTGCCCCCCTGCCCCGTCCCCCCCCCCAGCAGAGACACCAGCCCAGCCACTCCTCTGTGCAGGGCAAGGGCACAGGGCACGCCAGGGCTGTGCTAGGCAGCGCAGCTCTCTGTTGGGCACTGCTGGTGACCCCTCGCTGGGCAGTGCCAGGGCTGATGCTCATCTCTGTACCAGAAGCAGCTCGGTTTGGGAGCTGGGATGTGCCGGGGACAGGACCTGACGGGACAGGGTTCTTGCTGGGGGCTGGAGCCTGCGCAGCTTTCCACATGCCTGTTGCATGCTAAAGACATGCAGAGGCAGCGGGTGCATGCGACAGTGCAGGTGACCAGGGTGGCTGCTGAAACAGCCCTGGTGGGAAGCGGCACCGAGAGGCGCTCAGGGGGCCATGGCACCCACCACCCCAGCTGCTGGCAATCCGTGTGGAGCGGCCCGATGCTGTGGGATGCATGGGAACCTCAGGTCCTGGCCAGCACCCGGGGCTCTGCCTACAGCTCGGGGGCTCAAGCGTATCTTCTGTCTCCCACTATAACCGGTCGCAGAAGGGCCAGCACGGTCTCCAAGGGCCAGGAGCCGAGGGATGGGGCAGCACCTCACAGCCATCCTGCTGCTGCCGGGAGCTGCCTCCAGCAGTGACACTGAGGGACAGTCTGGGCAGCCCAGTGCCGGCAGAGCCAGGGTGGCAGAGCTGGGCTCAGAGGGGGGGCAGTGATGGGTGATGCTGCACTGATGTCTGGCTCAGCCTGGGTCTGCCATCGCCAGGAACAGCAAGCCCACCAGGTGTCCCTCGTGTCCCCAGTCATACAGTTTTGATGTGAGCCCCGTCCCAGTGTACAGCACTGCAGCTCCCCGGTGTTGCTGCTGGTGGCAGAGGCACGTGCCATGCTGGCAGCCCTGGCTGGTAACCCTGAGGCTCCTGGGTTGGAGGAGCAGGACCAGAACCTTTCCCTGGCCCCCATCAGTGAAGGCAATGATGCCCTGGAACCCACACGGGGCTCCCACCTTCCCTGCCTCAGATGGGGGCTGGAGGTAGAGCAGCCAAAGGAAAAAAAAAAAAATCATCAAAAAGAATTAGGGAAGGGAAAAGAGGCTCGTAAATCCCTGGGTCTCCAGGGAAGCTGCTCCAGCTGCAGCCAGGAACACAAATGTTGTCAGCGTTTGGTAAATATGTAACGGAGACCATAACAACTTAATGGATCCAAGGTGCTTCGTTAGCGCTCCCAGCAGACGCAGCCCTAACGAAACTCCCGGCCGTGCTGCTGTCCTGGGCCAGGCAAGGGGACTGGGATGAGCCAGCCTGGGGACAGTGCCTGGCACCGGGACACTAGGATGCAGGGCACCACCTGCCAGAGTCTCCCCCAGCTTCCCCAGCACCCACCTCTGCTTTCCTCCAGCCCCTCTGCCCCGGCTGCTGTGGCCATGAGGCCCCTTCTGCCATCAGCTCCTGGGGCTCAGAGAGGACCAGTGCCAGGGGTGGCTCCTGGGGCTGGAACCTGTCCCCACGCTGGGCAGTACCCAGCACAGTGTCTTATCTGGCTTGTCCTTGGCCTCTCAGCTCTGTAGGAGCCAGAGCTGCTCCAGGGCAGATCCCTCCCTGCAGACCCAGGGGGTCTGTGTCAGCCCCAACCTGGGACAGGGCTGTGTCTGGGTCAGCCACCTCCTTAGGCCTTCACTACCTGCAAAATCCCATCTTAATGCTCAAAGATCTGTTGGCAGATGAAGCCCAGGCCCCCAGCATGTGGCACCAGTGCTGCTGGCACTGTCACTGCTGCGTGGCACCCATTCAGGAATACTCTGGGGAGTCTGTGGTACTAGACTCCAGCAAATGCTTCCTGACGTGGCCAGGAGCTTGGTGGCCCCTTATTGTGATGCCCAGCCAGCCCAGGGGTGCAAAAAGACACCAGGCACAGGTAGCCCCCAGTGCTCAGACCTCAGCTCCCCAGTTCTAGGATGCATTTCTCTGGGTGCAGGGAGCCAGCCTGGGGAGGAGCAGCAGTTGGCAGGGGCTGCAGGCCGATGGGGACTGGCACCCCTTCCTTGTCCTGGCCACTGTCACCCAGGAGCATAGCAAAAGCAGCCAGGGCACGACAGAGGCTCTTGAGCAACCAGACAGATCCTTATCTTGGCTCCTCTAGAGTGCTTCCAAAATGCTCTTTGTCCCCTGACACTTAACAGGCATCAACTAATTAATCCAGGTTGGAGCATATTTCTGTCCTTCTGATCCAGCCGTGGTTTAGCTCGTGTTTGGATTCTTCCTGCAGGATGGGCATGGCTGGCACAGGAACAGGGCTCAGGGCCAAACCTCAGCCCTGGGCCTTGGAGAGATGGAGGCAGCGATGCCCGAGCTGAGCGCTGCGGGGACCAAGGGCTCTGTGTGTCCCTGAGCTGCCAGCCTGGGACATGGTGGCATTTGGGTGGCAGAGGGAGATGGGGAGGCATCTGCAGGGTGATGGGACAGTGTTGTCACCCTTTCTGTGGGTCGAAGAGGGGCTGCCACTGGGCTGGAACCCTCCCAGAGCCCCAGCCATGCCTCAGCCCCTCTGGGTTGTGTCCCCCCACAGTGAGTGCCGGCCTGCTGGAGAACTGCACGGGCTGCATCCTGTGCTCTGAGGACAACGGCTGCATCACCTGCCACCACCGGCTCTTCCTGCTCATCTGGAGGGATGGCATCCGCCAGTACGGGATGTGTGTCCACACCTGCCCCCCCGGCTACTTCGGCGTGCGGGGGCTGGAGGTCAACAGGTGCACAAGTACGTCCAGCACCAACCAGGGGCCCCCCGACCCTGCCCATCTCCCCCTGCCACCCATGTGGTCCCCGGGAATGGTGATGGCTGCTTTTCCTGGCAGCGAGAGCTGGGGACAGCTGGGCCATGGGGCTTCCTCCCCTTTGCCCCTGCCCAGAGCTGGACCCTGCGGGTTTGCAAAGGGGTCCCCGGGGGTACCGGGCCGGCCCGGGTGACCAGCCCTCCTTCCTGGCAGAGTGCAGGTCTCCCAGCTGCGAGAGCTGCTTCAGCAAAGATTTCTGCATGAAGTGCAAAGACAAGTTTTACTTGCACAAGGGCCAGTGCTTTCGGCAGTGCCCCCCCAGCACCGCAGCACAGCCCGGCACCCACGAGTGCCAAGGTAAGCAACACCTCCTGCCCGTGGTCCCTCGGGACGTGGCTGGTGCTGCCTGCTCACCGTCCCCACTCCCTGTCCCCTGCAGAGATGTGTGAGCCAGGACCCTGGAGCGAGTGGAGCACCTGCAACCACGAGGGCCGGACCTGTGGCTGCAAGTGGGGCGTGGAGACGAGGGTCCGGGAGGTGCTGGGGGCCAACCGGGAGGAGGGGGCTGCCTGCCCCGCCCTGCTGGAGACAAGGAAGTGCCGCATGAGGAAACACTGCCCAGGAGGTGAGCATCATACTGCCTGATACCCCCAGGGGTGGGTCCATGTCCCCAGGGCAGGCAGCAGGAAGAGGGGTGTGTCTGGCAGTGGCTGAGGTGCCTGCCTGTCTTCTCCTGAGCATCCTGAGGCTGGTGGCTGTGACCCCGCAGTTCTGGAGATGCACTGCCTCAGGCACCTGTGCTGAGCAGCTCTGGTGCTGGTTGCGGGGCCGGTGGGGTCCCCCGTGGGCAGGACACCGGGCTGGCTGCTCCCCCTGGCAGCCTCTCAGACCACCTGGCACTGGCCAGAGGCTCCTTCCCTTCCACTGCCGGGCTGGGACAGGCAGAGGTGTGAGCTGCTGTGGTGGGACAAAACTGCCAAGCTCTGGCTGCCGTCCTGCTGTGCTGGCGAAGGGGAAGTCATGGCTGGGTGTCCTGTATCCCAGCTGTGCATAACAAGGGTTGAGACCCACAGGGGTTGAAACCCACAGGGTTTGAGCCCCCAAACTCCCATCAGCACTGCTGGAGCTGGAGGGCATCACACAGGGGATTTCTGATGGCCAAACCTTTGGCAGACCCCCCTAGGGAAGGGTCCTCCTTCATGACTCGCCCAGCAAGACGTTAGCTACTGCTCCTGCACCTCTTCCCACCACAGCAGTGCCACGGCCCCAGGCTGGGGGTCCCTGGATCAGGGCTTTCCACCACCTCTTGCAGCCCCCAGACCCAGCATGGAGTCTGGCTGGGCTTGGGCACGTGGCCGCCAATGGGAACCAGGAGGAGGCTGATGTCATTTTCGGATGCAACTGGCTGGACTGAAGCCATTCTAGTAAATCTCCCTTTAATAACTGGCAGCAAGGGGGATTGTAGGAGACACTGATCCGTAGATCCTGGATGGAGATCCGAGCTGCTGTGTGGAGGGTTGTGGCTCAGAGCTGTGGGGTCACTCTGTTCCGTGGGGTGCACCAGCTGGCTCCTGAGGGAAGTTCAGCGAGGGGAGGAAGAGAAAAAGGCTGGAGAAATGGGGGCAATAAAAAGATGTGCG